CAGAGCCTGGAGCCTGCTTCAGATTTTTTATCTCCCTCTCTCTCTGATCCTCCCCTACTCATGTTGTCTCTCTCTCTCTCTCAGAAATAAATTGAACAATTAAAATTTTTTTTAAAAAAGAAAAACATGCTTGGGACAGGTGGGTGGCACAGTCAGTAGAGCATCCCATTTTAGCTCGTGTCATGACATCCAGCTCCTTGGTTAAAGTCCCTCTGTCCTAACAGCTTGGAGCCTGGAGCCTGCTTTGGATTCCTGTCTCCCTCTCTCTCCCTGCATCTCTGCTGCTTGCGTTCTGTCTCTCTCTCAAGAATAAATAAACATTAAAAAATATTTTTAAAAGAAAAACATGCTCAAAGAAAATGAATAAATATATTGAGACTATCAAATCCAAAAGTCAAACAAACACATAGAAAGATTCTCAAATTCAAGTTAAGATTGAAATATATTGTTCAAATAATCAATCTTAATTTTAAAAGACATATAGGATCTAGCACCTATTGCTTTCCAAGATAGTAAAATCTATTAAAGTAAAAAAAAATATAAATATAAATATAAAATCTCTTCAACCAGCAGTGACCCTATGAATATGGTTCATTACATCAAGTTTTATGTTATAAAGACAATAAACTCTTTAAAGTTTTATACTCAGAAGTGTAATAGAGAATATACATGTAACAGAGATTATTTGTACCTTATTATGTGATTCATATGCACTTGATTTTCATGATTTGTGGATGCTATTTGTAGATTCACCCATTCAATAAAATTTATTTTAACCCAGAATCAGTCTCTGTTTTCACAACCATTTCCAAACATATGTAAAGCTGTGGAAAATTTGAATTACCCAATATACAAGTTCTCTGCTGGTATCAAAAAAATGATACTCTGCACCCTTGTTCAGCTTTATCTTTTTCATGGTCTATTTTTGCAATATTTATTGCATTTCTTATGATTTTGGGGGGTGATTTCACTGTTTAAAATGGCACCCAAGTGTGGTACCAAAAGTGTAAGTTTTCCAAAGTGCAAGATGGTTGTGGTATGCCTCACAGAGTGTTTTAGATAGGCTTTTTCAGATACAAAGTATGGTGCTGTTGGCCATGAGCTCAATGTTAATAAGTCAACAAAATATATTATATAAAATGTCTGCAAACATACAAAAACAAGGTTATGTATTTATTGACAGACATATTGTAATCAGAGACTCCTAGAAGGGTAACTGTGTATTTCACATGGAAGCAATATTTAATAATAACTAATTCAGGATTCAGGAAGACCTCATAGAATATAAGTACCACACATAAAAAGAATAGACTGTGCGTGCATGCATGTTTTTTGTGTGTGTAGATAAGTACATGTATACACAAACATCTCACATGTATACATGAATATACTACATCCTTATCTGTATAGGATAATTTGAGTACTGAAAAAAAATAAGAATACAAAGAAAGCTATTAGGAGACATCAAATTTTACCTTAGGGAATTGCTGAAGTTGATTTTTGAATACAATAGTCAAAAAAGGTAAAGAAAAAAAATCCTACAAGTTATTTATAAAGGCATGCATATGATACTCAAATACTAATAAAAATTTGTATGTGGTACATATAAAGAAATTTTAGAACAAATTATAGTATTTTAATATTTCAAAAAGTAATTGAATAAGATAAGCTAATAGGTATCCGAGTATTTATATTTATGTATATTCTATATGGTGCATTCCATTTTTAATTATTTGCCTAATACATGGATAGATAGGAGATGGATACATAGGTGATAGACAGATGATAGATTGATAAATATAAAACAACAGAGAAAAATTACACAAATTTGGAAAGGGTACAAGATGGTTAAAATATTGAAATGTTCTTCAAATTAAATATTCCAAAGAAAATATTTACCCTATAGATGCCTATATTGATTATTGAAATATTGAAATGCAAAAAGGACTATTAACGATAAAGGTATGAATGTATATTCATATACAAGTACATATACATATGTACATACCTTTATGTATATACATATATGTGTACATATATGTAAATTTACACATATGTATGTGTACACATGTGTTCGTGTATATGTGTATATACATGATTTTTGTTCTGGGAAATACCATATATATTTGTATATTAAGTCTAATATGTTTATAGTATATAAGAATTATAATAAAACTCTATAAATTATAATTGTATATGTGTATTATATTTTTCACAAAAATCAAACAAATACATGCCACGTTGATTTTTCTCTTATTAACTAGGTGGATGACCAGGGTCAAACCACTGTATTTATATGAGATTCAGTTTTTTCAAATGCACAATTGGGGAATTTATCTAGTTAGCATCACTTTTCCATGATTCTTGAAATTATAACAATTTTATAGAATGTCTTCTAAAAGATTATTAGCTAAACCAAAAGGGATTTTAACCATCTTTATCATCAATTTCCTTATTAATATATTTTAGTTCTTAGTGAATTTTTTCAAGACATTTTAGTTAATCTTCTTATAGAGTTCAACTCTTATTTTTGTCTCTCAAAAGAAAAATGGGGCTGTTTATTTGCCCATGTATCTCTACAGAGAAAAGTAAATTCTGAAAAGTTTATTATCTGTGTGGCAAAGAGTTAGTATACATATACAAAGAAAAAACCACACAAACAGAAATTTGATCCACCCAGTGGAACAATCCCTTTGGCTGTTTGCTAAATTACTCTTCTTTTTTCTGCTCCTGGTTTTTTCAGTCGATCACTTAACCTGACATGAAATTCGTGCAATGGCTGGAGTTGGTGTCACAATTTTCTGCGGGTTTTCTAATCCAAACTTATTCATCCAGAGGTTCTTGGAGTTGTTCTCGTGCTTTCATTAGACTTAAATTCCATTTTCTTTTCATGAAAGTCCATGTTTCACTAAAGATGATTTTAGTGGGTTTTGGCGACTTACAACAAAGTGTGACTAATACAAGAATTATTAAACATTCTATACTTTGTGTCTACAGATTTTACTTTTCTGCTTTCTGTGTCCACTCTATTATAAATTATTTACATAATATAAACTCTTTGATTTAAAATTTCTGTTTCCAAAACCAGAATGGATGTGTTCTGTTACCTGAAATCTTGTTTCAGATCTCTTACATGGATTTATGTCATATGGAAGTGATAATCATCTGTGATCAGTATCTTGCACTAGCAAAGAGAAATATATATGTAATTCATATTTGTATAAACTTATTTATAATTTATAATACAGCATACAATCTAATGTTTAATTTATTATACAACATATATTTTTTCATAATTTATGACATAGCATATAATTCATGCATACAGTGTTTATATGTTTTTCTCTATTATTAAAACCTCAAACTGTAATGCCGAATACCCTTATAATTGAATAAGACTTTATTCAGAAATTCCCTATTAAAAGAAATCTTTTATTGCTTTATGTCATGACTGTAGTTGAGAATCTAGGTTTTGTATCCCTATGAGAGAACATAACAGTGGGATAGCTATGGAGACATACACAATGTCTTGCTGTTTCTTTGAGTTCAAACACTTTCCTCAAATAAGTAGTTTAGGTACAACTCGGTTTTGGTTGCAAAAGTAAAAAAAAAAAAATAAAGTATTAAATTTATGACCAGGTTCTGAAAAATCCTGTTTTATGTTAACATTATTTTCAAAATTTTAAAAATAACTCAGTAGAATCACTAACAGATGATTTGATCTTACAAATATATTTTTGCTAACTCTTACACATTTTAGTACTGATATCAATCAGACTGATTGATATCAGACTTTCTGCCATGTGATATTATGCTTGCTTTAAATGACTCAAACACCATTTTATTCTTTGGCAAAATATCAGACTTCTCATTTGGACTTATCCTTCATGAAATTAGCTATTTCTTAATAAAACATAATAGTTAAGTTACTCAATGTATTAAATATTTATAAATATGATTTGGAAAAACAAAAGAAACCCATGGAAGTCAATGTGTATAGAGGACAACTAGCCTTCATTTATCCTCTGGCCACAATATTTACATTGGGCAGCTGGTTATAAAGTTCTCATATATGTATTTCTTTTTTTTTTTTACTTTTTTTTGAGAGAGAGAGAGAGAGACAGAGTGCAAGTGGGGGAGGAACAGAGAAAGAGGGAGACACAGAATCCAAAGCAGGCTCTGAGCTGTCAGCACAGATCCCAATGCGGGGCTCGAACTCATACACTGCAAGATCATGATCTGAGCCGAAGTCAGACACTTAATCCACTGAGCCACCCAGGTGCCCCTCATATATGTATTTCTTTAAAAAAAAAAAAATCAGAACTCTTGTTATATACTTCCAAGTCACAAAGGTATAGTATTAAGTACAGCACATACAAACATGAAAAACATGTGTACATATAATCCTAAAGAATATCAAAGAAGTTCATGGCTTACCTGTTAAGAAATAGGCATGTAAATGAGAAGTTCATTAAAATGAATTCAGATGTAAGTGGATTCCCATGCAACTCTTGTTTTTTCCAATCTGCACATGTGAAAGTAACTTGTAGTAAGTAATCTATTCGTGTTCAGATTAGACAGCTAAAAAATAATCTACAACAAATCAGACTTAGAATTATAGATTCTGTTGAAATGTCAAGGAATTCATGGAAAATATTTCCTTTGTATATCATATGACAGCCCAATATATACAATAGATATTTAAATAGATACATAGGCAGTAATCTGTTCTTTTCAAAAGAAGTAGTCTCTGGCCACCAGCTGCATCATTACATTACCTTGTACCTTACCCTTTCCCTGTCCACAAATAGCATCTAAAGTTCCACTTCCTTCCTAAATAATTCATTGCTGTCTTTCTGCTTGCATATGCCTTGGAGCAAAACAACAGTCGTACAGTTACTGGCAAAACCCAGGATTCTAGGAAAGCTTTCAATTGATTATGCATTGTATCCTAAGTATCTCATGGGTGGTATCACCTCTAACATAATCTTTTATTACAGGGATGGGGTGGAAAAGCGCTGGAAATTTCAATGCTACAAAAAGTAAGACTTTTTTCTCTTTATGTGTTCTCAGTACATCATATTTGCTGAAAACAAGTTTGAATTGGACACATTGTGCAATTGTATATGGGGGGGGGCATATTTAACTGATGTAGAGCTGAGATTGTTTCCCCATAAAGGGTGTGACAATTGCATTGAAAGTCAGTATTTTACCCCTCCTACTTGACTGAAAACTCTTTAAGGCATTATCCATGTTTCATTCATTTTTATATTATGTACTATCATAACACTGACAAAACAAAAGTGGCTGTCATAACATATGCGTGACCAAAAAATGAGAAATAACTATATTTTTAGGGGCCTATTTTCAATTGTCTTGTTGAATTTGATGGCCTATTATTTGACTGGGAAAGTTACTTTGATGTGATATGTTTGGGGCTGTATTGAGGGACTGCCTTAGTACAAAGTAGGGGGAGAATTATTCATGGGTCTCTGGTATTTCTGGATCTTTTCCAGCAAAAGCATTCTTTTAGTTATTCTTGCTGGATGACGCATTGTGAATAGATTTGCAGCTTAATAACAGTATACATTTCTTATCACTAATTTCCTGGGGATCAGAAGTCCAGACACAATGTAGCTGAGTCCTCTGCTCAGGGTTTCACAAAGCTGTTCTCAAGGTTGGCCATGCACCATTCTCCTGGAGGATCAGCGAGGGATAACTCTGCGTCCAGTTCATTCAGGCTCTTGTCAGATTTCATTTTCCTCTAGCTGTATGAATGTGGATCCCAGCTTCTTGCTGACTATAGTTTGGAGGTTCTCCTCATGACCTATAGGACATCAAGAGCTACTCACCACATGGCCTTCCTCACAGGTCATCCATAACATGGCAGTTTGCATCTTCAAGCTCAGCAGGAAAGTTTTCCTTAGCACATGCTATCAACATGGAAGGTCATATGCAGAATATATCATGTGTTATGTAGTATATAGCATATAACACACATTATAATACATTATAATATATGTATAAAACATATATATGTGTATAACATATGACATGATGGTGTGTAATATATAATATATGACCATATTAAATATCATTTAATACATAATACACAATATACAATATATAACATATAACCATTGTGTGTGTGTGTTGTATATATTGTGACCAAATCTAGGGAGTGATGTTCCATTAATTTTGCCACATTATATTGGTTAGAAGAAAGTTGCTGACTCTGCCCAGCTCAAGAGAAGGGGATTATGATCACCTTAAGATATGTTTGTCATAGGCTATAATAACTTTTTTCCAGACTATTCTTCATAAGAGACATATGAATAGCAAACAGCCTTTGAAGAAGAAGTAGTGTTTTCCTCAAGGACAGAGGCCAAGTTTGTTTCCTGAACAAGATAATATAGACAATACATTGCTTCAGGGCAATGGTGGGACAGAAGTGCTTTAGCTCTTGTAAAAGATTATAGTCTCAAACTCAGTGTCCCTCAACTGTGACAAATTCACAATGTGCACAACATGGCATGGGCCACTCTATATCTCAGCCATGAGATTTGAGGTGTATGTCAGGATTATCCTCAGCTTTGATGATTTGCTAGAAGGACTCACAGGACTCATAAGTTGTTATATTCATGGTTATAGTTTATTATAGCTAAAGGATACAGAGCAGAATCAGTGATGAGAAAAGGCACAGGAGGCAAAATCTGGAGGGAAACAGGCTTAAACTTCTAGACACAAAGTCTGGAGGAAACCAGACTTTTCCCTCTTGTGCAGTCAGAGAGAACATATTATTACCTCCAGGAATGGTGTTTAACAATACAGGAAAAGTGTTGCCAACTAAGGAGATTCACCTGAGCTTCGATGTACAGAGTTTAAATGGAGGGTTAGTCATGGAGGTGTGCAATAGCTTTTTCTTAGGAATGAATTTGAACTCCTACACCTGTTGAGTTAATCCTTTTATTTTTCTTTTCCACAGAGGGCAAAAGGAACCAGTACTAACATGAAGCTCACACTATCTGTTGTGTGATACCATGATTACCAGAATCCTTTGTCTCAGAGTCAAGGTTCTTTCATCTCTTGCCAACATCTATGCAAGTGTTACAAGCAGACGTGTTATCTTACAAGCAAGGAAAAATTCCAAACTCTTCACAGTTCTTACTCAACAGTTGTACAATCCTGAATGAATAGTGTATGGAGGAGACCCAGTGCTGTACATCTTATATATGGTCTTTTGTACCTAAGTAGTTTACTGCTTTATAAATTGAACCATAATTAAAAATTTTTGTTAATTAAAAAAGTGTGTGTATGTTTTCTCAAATATGGTATTTAATTAAGGTATAGCTATTAAAGTAACATGTTATTATCTGGCTTTTATAATTATAGATAAAAGTACATTTTTATATCTCCAGATTTTTATTTCCAGCTGTACAATATGTAAATATTAGATTATATCATGTAATGTGTATGGCATCCAGCTATTTATTAGAATTTTATTTAGCTTGTCATTTCATTGAACTATAAAATAATAGCTGCAAGTAACTCTATGTACAACATAATGTAATTGTACTGTAAACTGAGAATACCAGTTAAGGAAAAAAATAATTGTCTTTGGACATTTTGTATATTTTGTTAGTTCTTTTTCTTTTCCTGAAGAATTACTTTCTTTCTGTTCTTAGAAGATGAAACAATATATCACAAACTAAGAACTATGTACTTAGGGGCACCTGGGTGGCTCAGTCAGTTAAGCAACTGATTCTTGATTTCGGCTCAGGTCATAATCTCATGGTTCATGAGTTGAAGCCCTGCATCAGGCTCTGCACTGACAGTATGGAGCCTGCTTGAGATTCTCCTTCTCTCTTTCCCCCTCTCCCTCTCTCTCTGCCCTTCCCATGCACTCTCTCTCTTCCCAAAATAAATAAAAAGACTTAAAACAAGAAATATGTATTTAATTTAATTGGACTGTGATTTCATAGGAGTTTTTCCTCTCCACTGATTGTCACTTTCCAATAAACCCATTAAAATATCTCATTCAGAAGGCATCATCTCTTATACTGGCGAACACTTTCCCTCAGATCTACATTTCTGCAAGTCTTTGGAGCATGGTTCTGACTGCCCTTTGATATGGATTGTCTTCTCATAGATATTTGTATTTCAAATAGCCTTGAAAGATAGAGCAGTTCCCTTTAGAACAAAGGACAGGTGTGCTTATTAACCATTACAAAATATTCCAGTCCCCTAAGCTAAGCATTCTTCTTTAACAAACCAACGGCATGTGCAGTCAACTCCTGGCCCTCTTGTGTCACTCTGTAGAAACTGGAAATTGAATAACCAATGGGAAAAAAAAAGGATGGGGAGCTGGTATCCAGGCTACTGCTTTTGCTGTCATGAATAAACTGTCCTCAATCTCTGACAGTTTTACATATTCTGAAGCATCCTTAACACTCTAGGCTAACATGTTAGATTGCACGTAAGTAAAATCGTATATACTTCACAGTGTATAGATGCTCTTCACACTTAGATAGGCAGTCTGATGACACATCATCTTACTCAACACAGAGAGTCTCAGTAGCAATAATGCAACTTGATATTAACAAAGCAGAAGGACTTCTCACCTCTGTGATAGTTGACTTGAACCTAACTAAACATATTTATATATTTAAAGATAGAAAATACCAACCCTAAAAGGTAGGGAGGGAGGGCTTATCAGAAATGAAGAATAGAAGAAAGCCACTTTGGGATATAAAGCAAGCTGCATTTAGAGAGACCCTTTTGATGGTAAAGTTTAACTCAGGCAAACAAATCAACAGCTCTAATTAGCAAGAAGCTCTGTCCTGAGGAGATCAGGCACCTTAATGGATTGGCTGACTCAGTCTGCCCATTGGCTCTCCAAAGTCCTCCAAAAACATCGTCACCTTACCTCTGTCTCCTAAAAGGCTTCACACCTTACAGCCAAGGCTTATTCTGTGATACAATTCAGAACAATCAGATGCACATGGAGTTGCCTGTCAAAGGAGTCTCCTTGTTATAGAAAGACACGTCTCAATAAAAGGTCTTTTGTTATTAATGTTTCCCTGATTTCCATGCTTGGAAAATGAGAATGAATATTAGAATTATTTGAAGATAATTTTACAAGTTTCAGATTAAAGAGCAGGAAAATTTAAAACAAAAACTTAATTTGTTACTGTTACCCTTGAGCATCTGTTCCATGAGAAAACCAGATCCAAATGAAATCCTAATACTCAGGAACAAATTAAATAACGGGAAGATAACAGAGGATTCCTCTTTTTATTTAGCCTAATAAAAGTAATAGGAAATCTACCACAACTTGTTTTCACGCACATCCAAACACAAGCCCACAAAAATATCCACACAAAATGAAAAGTCAAAACAATATTAAGGTGCTAGTACAGTAATTCGGTTTGAGTACATTTAGTAAAAATTTAAAAAAATCTGTTCCAAGATCTTTAATATTTTTATTTCTCTAAAGATTATTATGGCTCATATCAGTTATTGGACCTGGCTTTGTGAATCCCAACCTGGGCTCTCCTAGTGTGAAAATATTAATTATTGAGTTATATAAGTAAGAATCTGTTTTCTGGTTACTAACTTATTGCCTATATTAGTTTAGTTTATGGACAAAAATGCTGGTCAGAAAGTACAGGATCTGGTCTGTTTCATGTTTATATACTTCATTCTGTAATAATTACTACATATATTAATTGCGTTAGGAGTTTGCCATAACAAAGTACCACAGACTGTGTGGTTTACACTGCATTGCTTTTTCCTCACAGTTCTGGAGCCTAGAAGGCCAAGATCAAGATATCCGCAGGTTTGTTTTCATCTGAGGCCTCTTTTCTTGCCAAAGACTGCCTTCTTACTGTGTCCACACATGGCATTTCTCTGTGCACACACACGCTCTGGATTATCATGTTTTTATAAGCACATCGGTCCAGTTGGATTAGGATTCCACCCTAATGGCCTCATTCTAACTTAATCTCCTCTTTGAAGACTTTATCTCCAAATAGGGTCATATTCTGAGGTTTGAAGATTAGAGTAACAGCATGTGAATTTCCAAGGGACACAATTTAGCCCATAAGAGTAACAATAACAGTATATGTGTTTAACTCAAGTTTTTCTAGGGATATTTATTCTTTCATTTTTCTTAGGTCAATCCCAAATAAATGTGAAGATAAACAACATAGTGCCTGAAAAGTTTCAGTCCAAACCATGAACTGTGATTAATTCACCAGGAAAATATCCACATTGTGGTTCTTGATGTTTAGTTAGCAAACCAGAATGCACTTAAATATTTTTAATGTTTATATTTTATTTATTTTTATTTTTTAACGTTTATTTATCTTTGAGAAACAGATCAAGAGCAGGAGAGAGGCAGAGAGAGAGGAAAACATGGAATCTGAAGCAGGCTCCTGGCTCCAAGCTGTCAACACAGAGCCTGTCCGAGGGCTCGAATGCACTGAACCATTAGATCATGAACTGAGACGAAGTCGGACGCTTAACCAACTGAGCCACCAAGGTGCCCCATAATTTTTGAGAGAGAGACAAAGAGAGAGAGAGAGAACATGAATGGTGGAGGCATAGAGAGAGAGAGGGAGACACAGAATCAGGAGGTGGCTTCAGCCTCTGAGCTGTCAGCATAAGGCTTGAACTCAGAAACTGTGAGATTATGACCTGAGCTGGAGTCAGATACTTAACCGACTGAGCCACCCACCTGTCCCACAAGCCAGAATGCACTGAAAAGCACCCAAATCAATTTACTCTTTGTATTGAAACTTCAGTGTACAGATAAAAAAAAAACACATAAAAGTTCCAAGTTACGGTTTGCCTTTGAGCAAGAAGTACTCTTCCAATCACCCTAAATAAACAAAGCAATTAACTTTCTACAATTCTGTTTCTCCTAGTTTCAAATTAGATTCATTTACATTTTGTGTTCCACTAATGTGCATTCATTTCAGTCCTTTTCATAGTCCATCAGCAATGAATAGAAGCAATACAGTGATATATAAACTAGTTTATACAATCATTTTATTCTGGTGACACATCATGTGACCACTAAATGAGTAGTTAATAGTTAATTTTATCAGACAATATTTGTTTCTTTTGTCTGCTTGAATACACTCTTGTTTTCTGAGATAAACAATCCATACACAAAATCTTATGTATAACTCTTTGTGTGTTGTTACACATCAATGTCAAGAAAGCAACGTGTCCTTAGGACAATGGGGATTTCACATGTGTAAACTTCCAGGACTCTACCTATGCACATCTTCCCTTGACTCATTTTAATGTATACTTGCCCTATAATAAACCATGACTGTATGTAATAGGTTTCAGGGACTTCTATGAATCTTTCTGATGAATTTTCATAACTGAGAGTGTTTTGAAGATGCCCCCTTCCTATTTACAATAGGTGTTAGAAGTGAGGACAGTCTTTCAGGACTGTTCCCCTAGACCTTGCAGTTTGGCTAATTCTGGGCACTCTTCTTTGACAATACTTTACTTCACATTCAGGACATCAAAGCTTTACAGTTATCGTTCTATTGCACTGGTCATTCCATTCCAGTATCCCTTTCATTTTTCTTCTCCTCTCCATTACACTCTAATACTGTAGTGCTTTCAAGCTAATTATTGTTCCCACTTCCTTTCTCTTCATTTATATTAACACATTCATCATTTGATCCAGTCTCAAGAGCTTAAATATTGTCTATCTGCTAATGTACTAACTGTGTATCTTCAGTCTGTCCTCTCTCCTTAAACCCAGACTTGTATATGTCGAGCTTAATAAACACATCCACCTAGTCATCTGACAGATTTTGAAACTTAACACATCATATGAACATCAGATCTCTTCTTTCTTAACTACTTCATCCCCCATATTGCTTATCTATTATATTTTTTAATTAAGTGGATGGTAAGCCAACACTTGAGTTACTCCAGCCATATATATGGAATATGAGATTATATTGAACTCTGTTTAATCTTTCACATGAAAATTGTCAGAGGAGACTATACCCTCAAAACATATTCAGGATCTGGTAGTTTTTTACTATATCCAGTGCTACCATTCATCATTCCTTTTCTTGATTACTGTGAAGATACTTTAAGTATTTCAACTGGTACTTTCCTTGACTAAACAGCCTAATCTCAAGAATGGAGTCAGAGTAACTTTTTGGGAAAAAAATCAGATCATGTCCCACCTGTGCACAAAACCTACTGATGGCTTCTTTATTTCACTTAGAGAAA